ACAGCTGTTCTGAAGAGCAAAGATCTTTGCAATAAGCACATGCCTTGATCATCCAGTTTACCCACATGGCAACTATCCAGTCCACTGTGATAACATGCCTCTGATTAAAAACACTTGCCAATCCAAGAAAGCCCACGCAAGCCCAGGTCCCAGGATTTTACCATCCTGTGTGTCTGGTATCTCTGACAGGGAAGACCGAGGATCTGCTCATTCACCAACAGCCTGTGAGAGAATTAATCAATCTAGCCCACAGATGCATTACCGGCTGGAGCACTTGGCCTGGATAGGACACAGACCATCCACCCGGAAGGAACATGTCTTCCTGAAACAAACTTAGCCAACAGGTTAAAGCCATTTATTACCAGAAGACTCGGATCTTTTTGGGTTGCTCATTGATAGCTTCATAGCCGATTTGAGTAGTCCCTCATAATGTGGTCCATCTTTTGATACATGTCATGGCTCAGCAGCTGTTACCAGAGTGAGCTGGGAAAGGGCTGTCAAACCGTCCTGCACTTTTCCAAATGTTGACATGCTGCACGCGGGTCTCAGCAGCAAGGCAGCAGCTGAGGGCAGGAAACCCACAGGCAGGTCAGCGCTCTTTCCATGTTTGAGCAGCATCAGGTGTAAATAAGATAACATTTCTGTTTGCATTTCAGTTCTAAAGCAAACCATGGGGAAATTCTATCATTCAGAGAGTAAAAAGGCAGGAACAGCTGAAAAATGCCTTTGGGCTGACATAAGAACTGGCTTTGAATATTCAGTCTGAGAGTCCCGTATGTCAAAATATGTCCTAAGTGAAATCAGATAGTTCGAGGGGAAAAGGACAGTAACTACCAGAACATTCCTAGGACTGTGTGAGGTAAGCTGACAGCAAGGAAGCACCACTCACCAGAGGAGAAAATTGGAGCCTTAGTTCTGGTTTAGCCTCCAATTTGCTGTGTGACCATGGGCAAGGAACCTAGCATCTCTGCACTTCCATTAAACACTTACACTAGCATATGATTTCTGAAATCCTTTCCAGGCCCACAGCTAAGCAATTAACGTTACCATACCTATCTTGGCACCTTTCCATGTTTTACTAGGAAAGGCTCAAGAACCATCACCCTCAGTTATAAACCCATCTTGTCATCCTTCTCCTTCTGGCACTAAACCAACCTAGTAAGGAACTATGCCCTCAGCCCTCTCCCATTTTAAGGTAGAGAGGGAGGACTGTGAGGTCCAGCATCTTCCCATCTTCATATCAAACAAATGGTCAAGAAGAGAGTGGAGGCACTGGAACAGCAGCACAGTTGGCCTTGGTCATTGCTGTAACCTGTCTCCTTCAGGGACTCTCCTATATAGTACACTTTGTTGTTGTTTTTAATTTGACCAGAGAGAGAGAGAAAGTGAGAAACCAAGTCTCAAGGTCCAGGACTTGAACCACTGTTGGCCATATGGAAGTCCAGCGCCACCTGCTGGCCCCTAAAGTACACTTCTACAGGACATTATGCTCATAGAATACTCTAGGCAGTACTTACTGGTTCTTACACAGTCTTTGTTGTAAAAAAGACATTGTTTTTCCTCAATAGAACAGTGTAGGTGTAAATTCTAAATTTATGTATTTGTGTATATGTGAATACACAAGATGGTATCTAGTCCCAGATCTATAATGCTTTATATCTTTGAAGTAAGTATCATATGTTGCCTCCTTTTCTCAGAAAAGGAGTAAAAAACAAAGCTGTGATACCATTTGGAATTGGTATTATCTCTAGTTTACAAACAGAGGTGTTGAGACACAAGTACTACATTTAGAGTTGTTGGGGCTATATTAAAGAAAACCCTTCTGACCTAACCTCAGTTCCAGTGTGGGGTATGCTGTATATAATCTTCTCATACATCTATCAAGTAATTTTAAAGGAAATTAGTGGTATTCACCAAAGAATGCTTTCAGTTCTTCTAAATATTTTAAAACTTTTACTTGTCACCAAAATATAGAACTATAAAGATTTTATTAAGGATTTAGTTTAAATAGTTAAGTAGAATGCTAAAAAGTAAATTTCACTTTTTATAACTGTGAACTCTGAAGAAGAAAAATGTTTTGTAAAGAACACTTAATTTAATAATTAATGTTAATCCATTATTAATTCAGGAATAAGAAATCTTGATATCATCTTTCGAGGCTTCAAGGCTGGCTTTTTCCTGGCAGAAAGAAATACTAGTTGTTGGTTTGGTTTTTTTTTCCCCTAAGATCACAATACATAATTCACCCATAATATCTTATACTGTCTTCATAACATTTTTGTACAAATAGAAACTGTCTCAAAAGGAAAAACTGAAGTAGAGGAGCTAAATCAAGTCTCTTACTTTAGCCCAATGGTCTTTCCAATACTCCACCACTAGAAAATGCCAGAAAAGCTCACTAGTTCTAAACTAACACTAAAGAGTTTTTAAAAATCTAATTAAACATGCCTATATGGGTAGATTTCAGACTCAAGGGCATCAGAACTGATCTTAGAAAGGAGCCATCTAGAGTCCACTCAGGATTTCAGGCTACCCATGGTAGATTGAACCCATACATTCATCCCTGTCATGTACCAAAACCCCACCAAAGGGTCTTTGGTCTTTTGGGTTTATTTTGTTTGTTTTTTTTGTTTTTGTATTTTTAGAGAGATTTTTTTGTGATAGGGCATGTATACATGTAGAGAGAAAGTAAGAAATCACCCTCTCAGGGAGATGGCCACACTTCAATCCCTTCTCCTCCATTCTCTTAGGATTTGGGGCATACACACATGTGTGCCTAGTGTTGAGTTTTAAGCCACCAGGCCCAGGACTCAAACCATGGTGGACTATGTGAGAGTCCAGTGACATAACCATTACACCATCTGCTACTCCCCCAAAGGTTTTATTAAAGATATCAATTTACATCAACAAAGAGAACTGAGAAAGGGTTTCAGCAGACAGTATGTCAACAGCTTTTGGATGTTAAAGTGGGAATATTCTTGGCAAAGTAGAGAAAGCTGAAATCTAAAGGCTCTCTCCAAAGGAGAAGTCAGTAAGATGCAAGTTGTGTGGCATTCAGAGCCCTGGAGAGCACTGAGGTAGGGGGAATCAGCCATGGAAGACTGTGGGGTGGAGAGGTGTTCATAAAGAGAGGACTGTCTGAAAGACTGAGAAAAGAGCATGGAGACCTCCAAGGTCGTTCTCCACCATGAGCCACTGATGTGGAGGTCTGCTGTGGTTCGAACAGTTCCCAAAGTTCATGTGTTGAAAACTCTACCCCCAATTCAACAGTGTCAAAATTGAGGCCTTTAAGAGGTGATTCGGCCATGAGAGATCTGCCCTAGTGAATAGATTAATGCTATTATCACAGGAGTGGGTTAGTTAATGCAGGTGTGTTAACACCCTTCTCTGTCTTACACTGTCATTTTCCCTTCCACCATAATATGCAACACAAAAGCCCTTATGAGATGCTAGCAGGAGGCTCTGGACTTCCCAGCCTCCAGAACTGTGAGAAGTATAGTTTTTAATCAATTAGCTAGTTTCTGGCAATCTTTCTTTGCACCAGAACAGACTAATATAAGTTACTTCCCCAGTTGTCAAGCCCCATATGCACTTAATCTTAGTTCTTCATTTGTAAAAAGAATGGAGGGCAAGAATGGCTAGACAGTTGTGAGAAACTACTAAATTCAAAGAGTGAGAACATAAAAATAAACAAGCTCTTAAGGAAGTTAATATAATTCAGAACACACTTCCGTAATCTATAATTTGTATTCCTGCAGAAATATGAGATAATACTGCATTCATGAAAAAGCAGCAGATGCTATGAAAAAAAGAAATTTTTGGAAACAGAGAAAGAGCTCTTGGAAATTAAAATATATAGCAAAGTTGAAAATGAACCTAGACATATTTTTGCATGGAAAAATAAATCCTGACTTTCCCAATGACCTAATAGAATCTGATGTTCCTTCTACAATGATGTTACAATAGTTTTGAGAAATTCCCTGTCACCCTACTAAACATATAGGTCCTCAAAGTGTTCAGTGGCTTTTCACCTTTACATTCCAAAACCCCACATGGCAAATAGTTAGACCTAATAAACATTAGATGGATGAACATGTTAATCTTGGGACACGGTCAATAGCAACAATTGGAAGGTGTGAGTGAATTACAATATAGACTTGTATTTTGTCTGATAGTGAGAAGAATATACCTCCCAAGGACATTCAAACTGGACCAAGTCCCATATAACCAGTTCCTCTGGGGCAACGCTGTGACCCTACCCCATGTGACAGAGGCACTTGACATTAAACTGGTCTCCCCAACACGAGGAAAGGGGAAACTAATGCCCTGTGGGGAAAGACTGATTTATTATTTATCATTATTGATATTGTACCACACTGCAGAAATGGGATTAAAAGCAGCGGAGAGAAAGAAAGTAGCAGAAACAGCAGCAAAGGGAAATGTTTTGGAGAAAAGCTCTAATACCCAATTGCACATAAATTTCTGCAAAAATCTCTGGTCATGTCATAAAACCAAATACCCAAAAACCACTGTGGGCTTAAATAAAGCTTTTCATTTTTGTTTTATTCCATTAGCATGACTCTTATTATTTTATACTAACCCATGATTAAAGAGGATGACCCTACTGAGAGGTAATGCAGGGTGGAGACCACATGACTTTGGAGTCAGACAGATCTGGGCTCTAAAGCTTGGCTACCTATTAGCCACAGTCAACTCACTTAACATCTCTGGGCCCCAGTTTCCTCATCATTAAAATGGTCAAAATAAAATTTATCTTCACAGGTTTGTTGTGAAGATGAAATGAATTGATGTATCTAAAGTTCCTGGCTCAGTGCCTGGCACTCAATAAATCATAACTGTTACTTCTCCCACCCCGCATGTCACCACCACCCCACACACACACACACACACGCACACCACCTGCCCAGGAAAATGTACGTTAGATAAACACATCACAAGTATCTATTGGTACATCTGGAATTTCTTTACATAAACATGTAAAGCACTTGGTCAGATTCCAAGCCAGTCTCCAAGGCCTGCCGGCTCTAGGTTGTAATCCTCAACCACTTGCCTGAAGGGATAAAACCTGACATCACCTCACTCTTCTTCCATTACCGGAATTGCTTTAGTTCATCAGCCAGAATGGCATGCTTACTTATAGCTATTTATCTTTTTCACTAATTGATCATCTGAGAACCACGGAGTTATGAGCAGCAATCTTTATGGTCATGATCTCATATAAAATAACGATACCATTTACAGAGAAACCTCTCAGATTATCAGCATCATCACTAGTCAGCACATCAATCAATCAGCAACCCATTAGTGTCAATTCCTAGAAAGTTGTAATTATGCCCTTTCTACTCTGTATTGGTTATATTCAATGATAGTCTTACCAATAATCTTTATTATTTTTTTTTGTAAAGTTTTTTGCCTTACGGGATGTACACTCACCAGATAGAGAGAGAGAGAGACAAAACAGTGAGAGGGAAAATGAGAAATTACCTCCCTGTGGGGGGTGGCAGGT